AAAATATTTTCATGGTGTCTCTCTGTCTGTCTGTCTGTCTGTCCGTCTGCCGTCTGTAACACGATAACTCAAAAACCGCTGAACCGATTTTAACCAAATTTGGCACAAAAATACTGTGGCACCCGAGAATCTGGCCATTAGTTTTTGGTGGGGGTGGAGGGTTGGTTAGGGGGTATGGGAGGGGGTTAAAAATTTAAAAAAATCGTAACTCCAAAATTACAGTAGCTAGCGAAACGCGGTTTTCAAATTAAGATTAGGCATAATATTTGCAACAAAATTTGTAATAACATCAAAATCAGTCAAAGTCGCAGTTTTCGAGATATTAACATATTTTAGTATGGGCGGCTATACGTGCCTCCCGGCGCCAATTTTTTTATAAATAACTCAGCAAGCCTTGAAATTTTTTAAACTTTTTTAATGGCATCTTGGTGAACATGTCAACACGCAACTTCATATACATATTCGTATCTATTACGGTTACCGAGATACCAATGCTCGTACCCCGAATTAGTAACACCCTGTAAACTCAAGTGTGGATATTTATAGATATCTTGTTTTCTGAAGATCACTATTTCCCGGAGTTCATTTCCAGAAAATTGTTCGAAAACAGATAGCCGAAGGAAAATTAACGGTCAATTGATTTCGGGAAATTTTCCGAGCTCCCCCAGTGTTAGAGTTTGTTATTCATCATTGGACTCTGGACTCATGGAACAGCTGTATAACCCTAATATTTATAATTGGCAAGATTCTTTGATGGTGTAACTATCCCATAGCATCAGAACTATATTTAGGAGAACTTCATCGTGGAGGATTGAAAACGACACAGAAAATAATTTGTTTTAAAAACGCTGATAAAAAACATATAAAAAGAAAAAACTACAACATTGTATTTATATTTTTGTAAACATATGACACAGAATTGTTGTATTAGCCAAGTTATTATTCTTCCCCAACTCGTTTACAATAGTGCCTAGAAACAGCAAATTGTGTCAAAAAAAGTTAGTAGAGCTATACAATTTGTAAAAATGATTTTCATTTAAATTTCAGAGTATCATCTGAATATTCTCTTACACAAATACCACCACACTACTTGTTCGTTATTTTCGTATAAGATCAAGCATATTTAACTATTTTGGAGATCTACAAATTGATATAAACAAAAGCTACAACGTAATGCCTAGTACCATTTTAGACGCAAAATGCAGCAGTATTTTATACTATTGCGGGGATTATTATAATTTATTTTTTCCATGTATCCTTGAAGACACTTCTTATGAAAAAAATTACAAACGGCCAGCTTTAAATTAATTTCATAGAACTGATTTTATACATAATTTAAATACAATCCAATTCGCATTCCATAAAGCAAATCATAGCTATATTGTTGAAAAGGGTGTTATTTCAATTAAGATAAGAGTCGCATCCCGCAGACTGCATCAGGAGAACCTTCCAAATTGCCCAAGTGGTTGAATATTGCATAAATTCGCTTTAGGAAATTCATTTAAAAACATCGATCAGGCCGAGTACTATCATTTAGAGTCACGACTTCCACGCGAGCTACATAAAAACCCATTAATATGGTTAATACGAGCGATGAGGAAAAAAACGCGCGACCCGTACAGAAACCAATAAATTGCAAAATTTCTCGCCTTTACGTCCAGTTAGGCCTCGCCTTCGAGATTTATACACGCCGTCGATGTCGCAAGTCGATTAATCAAAGCCACAATTACCGGCAATTACACGGCACCGCTGTTGCCGCTTTTACTGGCCGGACTCGAGGAAATTTGTCATAGAGCCAATGTTGCCAGCCAAAACAAAACTTCTTGACTTTCTGTTTCAGTATCGACGAGTATACAATGTAAAGCTGAATTTGAACGGGCAATAGGCTAAATCAGTGACAGATATGACCTGTACAACTAAGGATCCTAAATAGAAATGAAGAAGTGGAATTATAGTGGCAGCCAGAAAACTTTTTATTGTATACACGGAGCATGGATATGTTTGATCGAAAAAAAGTTTGCTTGTAAATGAACATCGACGACATTTCCCATACAATTTTACATACAAAGTGACAGCGATCTTCACTTCATAGCCATCGCTGAAGCCTTTTTTCATATCATATTGTGTTAACAATTAAATGATTAACAACTGTCATTCTCAATATTCGTTCGTTAGATAGACTATAATCTAGACTCCACTGAGCTGTGGGATAAGTATAACGAAAGTTACAAAGTAAGAGAAAAACAAAGTTAACGAACTTTTGGGTAGAAGGAGAGACAAATAAACTGACAGAAAACACGGCCGTGTGGACTTCATTAGATAGAAGTACTAACTGGACTGGGCAGAAGTACCAGATCAAAATCACGGAAACAAATTTTTTGGTCTTCCATATATGAAAAGAAGAATAAAATTATTTCTTCTTAATATAAATCAGCTGAAATAGCACCGATGAAAACACACATCTAGAAAATCAAGTTGCTAAATAGATACCTCCGTTCTAAGCTCTGCAGCACAAGAGCAAAAACAGTAAGTCACATTCTTTATAGATTTAACTGTCTTGTCGGTAGATAATACAGACAGCCAAGAAATACTAGAAACGGAGAATTTAGAGAGTCATCCAGTGAAGAACGGTTTTGTGTAAAATACAAACATACTGGAGTATAGCTGTAGTAATATAGGCTAGACTAATAATCATAAGAAACCTTGAGTGATACAGAGAAATGATAATTACAGTTGGGAGCTAGAACCTTTGGAGACACAACAGCAAAATAAAGCACTAATTCTCCACAATACATCAAAACACTTTACTTTTAACACTGAACACGCGTTTCAGCCCAAGAAGCATTTATATATTTTTATAAGTGTGTTAGGAAACTTCCCAACACTATATTATACAACCTAAACCCAAGCATTTTTGTTTTATAAGTGTGTTAGAAAACTTCCCAACTCCATATTATACAACCTAAACGCATCTACAATGGTTGTCGTGAGTTATTGGTAACGATTATATAACACTTATATGCCCTAAACGGGCCATTTTATAACTGTTCCTATGGTAACCCTTAACACTCAAGGTGTGAAACCAAAGTCCTGAAAACTTTCTCAACACCTTTATATATCCAATCGAGCTACCGCTATAAAATTGAAAAAGGGTATATAATAGTTATATAGTGGTGTTAAGAAGGTCCCCAGACCTCTATAGAAATATCGAGCATGCGCGTTTTTGAAAATAAACTTGTTTCTTTCTGACTAACTACTTTAATATTTGGCCTCTTTTTTAACATAAAAAATTGTCCCTATGCAGATAATCCAGACCAGACACAAAAGAGACAAAATGATGCCATCCCTGTCATAGCTTACAAAAGCGTTTGCGTTATGCAAATGACTTTATAGAAATTACTGGTTTAATAAAATCTATTGTGCCTAGCCAGAGTACTAAATACATATGCGATATTAAATTTACTGTGTGAAAATCACTTTTACCTCCAAAAAACACATGTGCCCCAAAAGCAGAATTCATTAATAGATTTTTATAAAACAAGTGGTAACATTTTTGTAATGAAAGTCAAATTTATTAATATAATCATAACATCACAACATCCGACTTTTTTAATACATAGAAATAACTGGAAACTGGCCAAAATATAGTTTTGTACCAGTTTTTAACGTTATCTTAGAAATACCCATTGTAGATAAAAATGAAGACATCAATAATAATGGCGTCCATTATATTTAAAGTGCTATATATTACTTTAGGATCTATAACATACTCATCACCATTATATAAATTTGGTTACTTAAGGTTGCGTAAATGAGTTTGGGTTGTCCATACCACACGTTTCTGATCGTTTTGGTAACTTTCTGTTGGAAATATCTCAGGTTGATCCTGATCTCTGCTTGTGGATGGAAAATTTGCATGTTGGCCTTCAATATTGGTAGATGTAGTTTGAATGAGGTTTGGATCATTCCTATTTTTTTTTTAAATTCTGAAGAACCTTTCTTTTGAACGTAGATGTATTTTTGTGTTTTATCCAGTTTATTTTTTTATTAATCATTATAATACCGAATTGCTTGCTTGCTAATATATTATTTGTCTTGATTATATTAAAAATTTGAGGTCATGTCATTAGGTTTGATATTCGGTAACTACAAGTTGTATAAAGCATGCAAACATTTGAAAGGTGCAATAAACGATTTGAGGGAACAATTATATAACTTGTAGTATTATTGGTTACATAATGGTTCTCAATAACACCTTTAATTATATAGTGTATATCTTGAGTACCTTTATAACACCTAATACCAGAAGTTATATAAAATAGATGTGAACACCTTTATAAAACCTTACTATGAAACCTTTAGTAACAAGAACCTATAGTGTTATAAGGAAAGTGATAAACAACATTTCAGGGTTACTATTAGTGATAAGTAACCAACGCTACACTTATATAAATCAATACACTGTAAGATACCAATGAGACATTTATTAAACCTTTATATAACTAACCTTGAGAATATATAACCTAAAGGAACTTAAAATGTTTTGGGTCTAGACTTGGGTTGATACGTGTTAAAAGTCCCCGAAGATAGACGATGAGCTCGAGGTGTGGGGGGGAGTTTTTACCGTAAAAAAATACACCACACGCAGGGCATGCATTAATCTTTAACTTTTAGTTACTGTTAAGTCGTGTGTGCACTAGTGCTCTCCAATGGAAGACAAAAAGTCAAGATGCAATGAAGACTTGCAAGATAACATCAGGACCCCTTAATATTACCGTTATTAATATTAAAGATTAAATTTAGACTTTAATTGGATTTTAAATGCGTAAATACAATATGAGAAATAGTGTTAATTTTGTCATTTTAATAAATAATAATAAGTTTAATTTTGTCATCACCCTGTAACTCTTAAAAGTTTAGACTTTTGAAAAAAATGTATTTAGACAATTTTGTAGAGAATTTTCTGGGCTTCAATTTTCTATATAGGGTATTTTTTCGTGTGTCATATTTTCCGAGATATGCCATGGCTGTGTCAAAAATACTAATATTTAATTTATTTAGAGTGATGTTCCTCAAGAACCGGCCCCTGTTCTCAAAACAGAAGAAGTTACACCCCCTCCAGAAAGTAAAGAAGAAAAGAAAGGTACCGAAGTAGAAGGGTCGGGAAATAATTTTTCTATGGCATTAACTCGGGACCAACACGAACAATACGGAACCCAATTTCAAGGCGATGATGTTCCAACGATACCAAGTACGTATATATAACCTCTAGAAGCATTAGGGATGCACGATACTTCCAATAAAATCGATAATGTGTAAGGTGAAGATCATTTCCCATAGGCTTGGTGCATTTCAGTTGATTTCAACAAATTCCGACCACCAACGCTTCAACGGCAAAAATCAGAAATTATCGGGTACCTATTTCATGCCGCCCGCGCCGCCGGTCGTCAGGTTGATCGCATTAAAATAATATTGAAATCGTAGTTTTGTAGTAATATTTAAGTATATTTGAATAAGAAGACTAAGGAAGGAGCATATCAAAAATCTTAGGTACACCGCGATGGGCCTCAAATATGGCCGACTTAAATTCCGGTTTATCAGTGTCGTCCTAATTTTATTTAAAAATGTAAAACTATGATGTAGGGTAGACGTGTGGTAGACTCAATAATTTGTTGTTTTATTTTACGTTGTGAATAAATGTTGGTAGTTATTAAAATTGTTATAAAAATATATAATTCTAATAAAAATAGATAAGTTATAAGTATTTATTAACACAAACATCTGATACGCTACTGAAGCAGGTAAGTCAAATTAACGTATCTAAATTCTTTGACGTCTAATCTTTGACAAGTAATAAATAAAAGCTAAAATGAAAGAAAAATATATAATTTAGTTAATTTAAGTGAATTTCATAAATGATCGGTTTACTACACGTATGTATATTATATAGTCACTTACTAGCGAAAAGTTGTTCCATTATTTCACTCAATTTTTGCCGAGATCTACCGCACGCTACACAACCAACTATTTTAGAGTCTTTTTCGACAAATCGCGATAGTGTCACTGTTAATTTAAGTTCTGCCACAATTTCCATCTAGATTTACTACCTTTATACAACTATCAGTAGTAGAATAAATAATAAATAACATAAAATAAGCTCCGTAAAGACTGACAAATCCACAAAATTTCAAATCAAATTCAAATGTGTCAAATGAATCGTCAAGCAGAACTGTCAAGGATCCCCACCTTAGAGTGCTTTTTCCGCCCACCATGCATGAATACATGGATAGCATTATGCTCCTTCCTTAGTCTTCTTATTCAAAGTAAAAACGTACATTTTTACCGCAGACTTAGGTTTTTAACGGCCCGGTCTAATCATCTGCCTGCGCTCCTCCTACTTATTCTAAAATGTTAGCGTAATTGACAAAGACGATACTATATCGCGTTTCTTTGATTGATTCGTTTTTGTGCGTCAGTCCATTGGTGTGCTTGCAGTGCGACCAATGGGGTATTCCAGTTTATATTTATAACCAAATATATGTTTTGACCTTTGAATAAGAAGACTAAGGAAGGAGCATATCAAAAATCTTAGATCCACCGCGATGGGCCTTAAATATGGCCCTCTTAAATTCCGGTTTATCAGTGCCGTTCTAATTTTATTTAAAAAATGTAAAACTATAATGTAGGGTAGACGTGAGGTAGCCTCAATATTTTTTTTTATTTTACGTTGTGAATAAATGTTGGTAGTTATTAAAATTGTTATAAAAATATAAAATTCTAATAAAAATAGATAAGTTATAATAATTATTTATAACCATAAACATCCGATACGCTACTGAAGCAGGTAAGTCAAATTGACGTACCTAAATTCTTTGACATCTAATCTTTGACAAGTAGTAAATAAAAGCAAAGATGCAAGAGAAAATTTATAATTAGTTAATTTAAGTGAATTTCATAAATGATCGGTTTACTACACGTATGTGTATATTATATAGTCACTTACTACCAAAAAGTTGTTCCATTATTTCACTCGATTTTTGCTGAGATCTACCGCACGCTACACAACGAACTATTTTAGAATCTTTTTCGATAAATCGCGATAGTGTCACTGTTAATTTAAGTTCTGCCACAATTTCCATCTACATTTACTACCTTTATACAACTATCAGTAGTAGAATAAATAATAAATAACATAAAATAAGCTCCGTAAAGACTGACAAATCCACAAAATTTCAAATCAAATTCAAATGTGTCAAATCAATCGTCAAACAGAACTGTCAAGGATCCCCACCCTAGAGTCCTTTTTCCGCCCACCATGCATGAATACATGCATCGCATTATGCTCCTTCCTTAGTCTTCTTATTCAAAGGTTTTGACAAGACTTTGACAGTTAAAACAACAAATTACAACATATTATATATTGATTATTATATGACTTGAAGAAACACCACGGCACTGGAATTTTATGTGACCTTGAACAGATTAGTTCACATGGTAGCGACCGATGAACCACTCTCAAACATTCGTGGCGTTTACTATACGAGTTTTGTGTAATGTAACGCTGTTTCGGGTAGTAAAAAAATAAGTGAAAAAGAATTAGAACTAGGCGTCGTGTTATGGTTGTGACAATTTTAAATGTTAATAAAATTGACTAAAAAATGTAAAGGCGTAAAGTAGTACGTAATTAGGGCGTTGTTAGGTGCAATAACATTCAATAACTCAACTTTCCCGAATATTCGACTATCCCGAAACAACATTTTATAGGTTCATAGTTCTTCACACCGATTTGATCAAAAGCAAAAGTGGATTCAATATTCAAGCAGTTCGACGAAACAAGTGAGTAAACAAAGTGCTCGTTACATAATCAAAAAATTATCTATTATATTAGCTATTTAAACCTATGTATTTGTATCTACTAGTTGTTTACGATATTTTCCGATGGTTGCAGCACCGGCGGAGAAAGCACCAAGCTTATAAGATCGATCCTGTAAAAAACTCGATAAAAAATCAATACTCAGAATAATGTCGATATAAACGTCTGAACTTCTGAGACATACTTCTATAACATATCGATACTTTGGAATATTATATTTGGCATCCCCATATCCCTATTGCTTAGGTAGCACGATAGACGTCCTGATACACATTCATAAAAAAAGAAAATATTAATTCTTGTTTTCTTCAATGTCTTGCCTGTAGCGATCGGAGTCCCCAGCTTAGAAATAAGCGACGAGGTATGTCTAAACTCTTAACTACTCTAAAGTCCTCTTCTTTTCACACTCTTCCTTTAACGTCTTTAACAGTCTTCCCTAACGAATTCTTCCGCCAACATATAACAGCGCCTCATTTTCCACAGACGGGCGCCACCGTCGAACCGCCCGCCGATAGAACGGAGGGAGGGGACGATTTCGGACTGGGCGTGGCTCAGATCGTCATCACCGCTGCCACGCCCATGATGGAGGAGCCGGAGCATCCGTTTCCGCCTCCCGAGGACGAGGCCTCGCCGGTCGTCAACCACCAGAACGACGTCATCGTCGAGGAAGACGAAGAGGCGTACGAGGAGGAGGAGGAGGAGGAGTTGGCGGGGAGGAACCAGGGTTACCAGGGCGCGGTAAACACGAAATGCAACGGCGAGAAACGGTGCGAACGGAGCAAAAGTGATAACGTAGACTCGGAACCTATCGTGGAAGAACCTAGCGAGGTATCTAAAAAGGAAGACATTGTTACGAATAGAGACTTTGATGTAGAGGTAGAAGAAATAGAGGAACCGGAACCGACTGCGGATTCTGGTTCTGGCCAGTTTATTGTTAGTAGTAGTACAGGTAGTGATGGTACGTATTAGATATGTTACAGTGAAAGTCGGAAATTCAGCGATTCTTAACATTCACTAGGAAATGCTAGGTAACAATTACGCACTGGACCAGTGAATGTCGTATTTTAAAGAAATTTATCCCCCCCCCTCCTTCCACCTTTAACGGAAGCCATTATTTTTTTCAAACTCGCCACTTCAAGCACATAAAAACTTTTAATAAGTCTATAGTCACTATAATGCATAACTTTTTCTATTACAATTCCATTATATTCTAGAAATGAAAAAAAAATTGAATGCACTATTACATTTTCGCGGGAGTCTATTTTGCTTTAATTTTTGACCGAAAATTTCTTTCATTTAGGGAAAATACCGTACAGCACTTTTTACAACGATAATAAAACAATTATACATAACCACAAAAAACAAAGCGAATTTATGCCAGATGTCTGTCAATGTTGCCAATGTTTAACCCAATTTAATGTTATCCTTATATTACCTATTATTCTACTTATCCTTATTTATCCTTTTTTACTACATGTGGCAACCGCGCAACTAAATTTTTTAAATTCACTGCTATTCTACAGGGAATACTAGCATTCACTAGTAGAAGTTGGTTTCAAAAATAGCTGTTGAACTTTTACTGGCGTAGTATTAGCAAATCAGTGAATGTGAGCTTTTACTAGTAATTGTTACTAGTGTAATGTAACAATCACTGATTTCCGACTTTTACTGTAACAGATACATTTAAATACAGTACAACTTTATTTAAATTTTCTTGCTTATACTATTGGGTTGACATGCATCCGTCAAGCGTCGTCTATCGTTGATTTTATGGAATTTTATTGGTTTATTTCAAAAATGACATATCGTACTTAAATATGACTGGAGTGGCGGAACGACGCATGACGTATCCATTAGGTATATTTTACATTTTTATGCTTATTATTTTACAATTAAGATTAGGTAATTATATACAGTGTTTCAAAAGTCAGTTAACTGACTTGAAGTAACATATCGTTTATTTTAAAAACTACCATTCATTTATAAAATCTAAGAATTGAATTAAATTTGAATACCTTGTTACCTCATAAACCATGATGATTTTAAAGTTATTAAGAAATTATTTTGAACGCACATACAAACTGATCTTTATATTTTTATTTCGTCTTATTGAAGGCGAAACCACTGGTCCCAGCACTGCAGAAAATTCTGTAAGCCACGCCCCTCCGCCATCTTCCGCCGACCAGGACACGCCCAAGCAGGTGGTGGGGGGTCGCGCTAGTATTCCCGATGAACTGGAACCGCACCAGCTTGCACGACTACAGGACCTCAAAGAGTCAAATGCCTAAGAATTTTGGTAAGCTATAAACAGTTATTAAGAAGTAAAATGTTATTTAATTTTTTTTACGTCAAATTTCTCTCTTAGCACAGCACTCTAGCATTTAAGCTTAATTTTCATGCATCCGTTGTCCGACGGTACGATGATACGATATTAATGCTATTGGTTTAATTTAAAAACTTCGATTGGTTGGAAAATTACGCAGTTTTTAAATTTATTGCATTTCCCTCCTCCGTTCATCGGATATACTATTTGCTTGTGATTGGTGTCATTTTATATTTTCATTTCCATAACGATTTTGCTGTTTTACTTATAGTCTAAGAGCTATATATTTTTATTTTTTTTATTTTTTTTAGCAACTTTAAAAGTTACACTTCTCGGGAGAGAATTTTAAAAATAAAATTCTCTATACAGAAGCTTTTTTAGCTGGTTCTTTAATATATCTTTTGCTATGCCCTCCTGAACAGAGTGTGAACCGTCTGACTACCGGTAGACGTTGCGTTCACTACCGCGCATCGTATCTGTATTCAAAATCTATTCTTTCTCACTGCGCATCACAAATTCGCCCTGTATTTCAGGAACTAAGGAGGCTAGGACAAACCTATATGTAGCATATTTAGTTTCATAAAAAAGTAGCAAGGTAATGCGAAAATCCCATCATTATATCTCTAAATCGAAAGAAATGGGTTACCCTGTACAGATGTAATGCGCAGTAGTGAACCGCAGTAGTCTACCGGCAGCCAGACGGTCCGCACTTTGGTCAGGACAGCATGGCAAAAGATATATTAAATAACCAGATTTCTTAAAATTCTCGTTTTCCCGACGTTGCTAGCTCTTGTACTATTATATTTTCATTAAGGTTAGATTAGATTTGTCAAAAAAGTGTCAAAACGTCCGTTATCGTACGAACTTTCTCCGTTTACGGGCCTGGAGTAAAAAATTTAAAGATAAGAAGTGGCGTAAAAACGCTATGACCAATCAGAGCGCCGTCGCACCATCGTATCAACGGATAACGGACGCATGAAAATCAAGCTTAAGGCTTATTGTGCTTGGTTTATGCTATTTTATGTATCCTGCACAAAATCTTCAATTTATTACATTACTGGGTAGGGCACTAGGGTCACATGGGTAACGAAAAGGCACATGAAATTGCCAAACAAGGCTCATCAACATACGCTCAGAAACATTCTGCGGCGTTGCAAAAGCAGTCACGGGAATGGCTACAAAGCGATGGGTGGCCATCAAATCTCTAGAGTGATGGAGAAATTCACTAGGGCAGAGACAGGCGGATATATATAATATATAATATTCATAGTAGAATATTGGCCAAAATTTACGGCAGACCTGATAAGCTAAGACAGAAAGACAGTGAAAGCTGTAGTGGGTCTCCAGTGGCATTGTAAGCTGCATCTACAGCTAATGTGATTGGCGGACAAAACCATTTTCAGGTTCTGTCAAGAAGAAACGACAGAACACGTTTTTGCCTGGCAAATGTGCGGTTCTCTGAAACAGGCAGTGATAGGCCATTGAGAGAGAGTTATATGGAGGATTCAGTCTCCAAGTTAGGTTTTTTTAAAAAG